AATAAAATCGAAAGCTTTTTTGGAATCCTACTTTCCATGTGGCACCTTTACTATTATAAACCTCCCTAATAGTTAATGTTTAGCCACTATAAGTACCCCTTAAATTTCTGCTCAAAGCACAAGAAAATTGAACGTGGCGGTTATGTTCCCATTCCAAATTTTAGTGATACATGACTGATGGGTTTACTTTAATGAATTGCAAACATATGGTACTATCTCTTTTGATATGAAGAGGGCTCGTCTTAAAATAGGACCATCTGTTTTAAAATTAATAGTATTACCTGTATTACGCACCAAGGAAATAAAGTACAGGATCCCTTCGGGGCGTGAATTGCCACCCTAGCCGATGATGATGGCAAACTCTCAGGAGGGGGTGCCGTATTATTTTCTCGAGGCCAGTATACAATTTTTTAATGTACCCTGCCGCGAAAGTAGTGAGTAGAAACCACACGAAGGATGGTAAAATCCTTTCGTAAAAAGGAAGAGCTAAATACGGTTTCTTATCCAGGAGGAGATATTGCGCATACATCTCTGAAATTAGGGAAAACATCCTACTTTTGGCAGGGATACGCTAAAAAATTATTTTTATTTGACTATTGGATCAAAAGTAATCAAAATGATAAGTATACGATTACTTGAAGCTTTTTCGACTTTAGAAACCCCTACATCAAGTTTAAAAATCATAATTAGGATAAATTTTGTCCATAAAAATGAAATTGATTTTCTGTATGAAGGCATGTCAGCTTTAGTAACTTTTACATATTCCAAGTAATTCAAATTCACCAAGAAGTTGAAAAACTTTTGAATGGTTTGAAGTTAATGTGAACACCATATTAATTATACTAGCGTGGATGACCCATATATTTTACACAAATTAAGCCTCTTTATAATATGGAAGCGAATATCCATCGGTCCTTAAGTCGATATTTCGCTATTACAGTTGTGCTTTAATATCTGTAAATCCCCGATATATGTGATACTACCTCGGTCGTATTAGATGGAGAAACGTTTTATTCCTGTACTCGCTTTAAGTAGGTACTTAATAGGTACGTAGTTCTGCAAATCCTGAATCGTTGAATTTAGTTTTATTAGATATTAAATAGATTTATTAGACTCTTTAAATTTAGTGATCTATTGGGCAGAAGAGAGTGATGTCGATATTACTGAACTGATGATATAAAAAACCTAACGATGAGAGAAAAAGCCATTATTCAACAAATAAAAAAATTCTCCGAAACAAACAAAAATTTATTTCTGTAATTCAGTAATTGTTTTTTAATTTTGTAGTTGCTGAGAAAGACTACAATAAAACGACGAAATGTTCAACTAAATTTCTATTGTTTATCTTCAAATATTGTTTTGGAATAATGCTCTATGATTTATAATTAAATTCAGAAATTATTATCATGGACATGAACAACATCCTTCAAAAGTTTATAATTTCTTTGGTAAAAAATGATATTTTATTATTTGTATTTGTTTGAATTTTTTTCTTTTGTCAATCACAGACGTTTATTAAATACAAAGTCATTCATTAATATGAACAAATCGATAATGTAAAAAGCGTTGTTAATTTCAGTTCGCACATTCGAGCGAAAGGAGAAACAGAAAGTGCCCTAAAATAACAAAAGGAAAAACTCTTTGTTAGAATTTTATTTAATCATTGGTTTCTTGTTAATTTTAATGTTACAAAAACATATCATTTCTATTTATTTAGTAATCCAAAAGCACTTTCGGTAAGAACATCAAAACAAGAGGGGATATTATTACCCTCCATGATTTCCACCCTAAATATACCTCGTCCAATGGCATCTAAAGGATATCCGTAAATGTTCCTTAAAGTAGCGGGGAAACCGTTAATTTCGTAAGTGCCTGTTGGTAAAGGGCACGAGGTTTTTGTCGTCGCTGGCGTCGTCCTAATAACGTCGATAGCGTCGTTTGAGGTCGCACCATTCGCCAACTGATCTATTATGGTGCAAAGGAATTCGTTATGTAAATATGTCTTGTCCGGAATCCACTTTGCGTTCTCCAGACGCAACGTACGAAGGGATATTCGGTGTGTCGTGTCAACGGGTGATGCGAGAGAAATATTTCCATTTATTATGCGAACGGGGTCGACGTCGGAATCGGACAATAGACTTGAGACGCCAACTTCGAAATTCAAGAGAAGCTGTTTTCGAAACCCTAAATCCGTACAAGGACTGATATCGATCACCTCTATAGTCACTGGGGTGAAGATCTGAAGAAAATAATATAAAAAGAAAAAAAAATGATACATTTATGCAGGTACCCATATGCCCACGGGAGAAGTTACAGTTCAGGTTTTCTAAGTCGTATAATATGCATTTTATAAAACAATACTTTTCAAAACGCATTTAAATAATATTATCATACATAAGTACAGAATTTAAGAAGTACAACATTCATTGGTTTTGGATTTGGTATTTCGGTAATAATAATGAAAGAATAAAATTATCCTTTGTTAATATTATATATAAAAAAATTATGAGTGCTGTCAGCACAGAGCAAAGTAGTATTACGTAAACTGAAGTTAATATCAGCAATTTCTTATGCTGAAGTGTACGATGTGTACATTTCCTTTAAATTTTAATCATTGATTACTATACATCTATTAAAAAAACATGATGGCCGACATCAGTGACAATGCGACAACAATTGAAAAAGAATGATGGCCGACAACTGCAACAATTAGAAAAGAATGATGGCCGACAACTTCAACAATAGAAAATAATGATGGCCGACAATCGCAACAATTAGAAAAGCATGATGGCCGACACGACGTCATAGTGGAGCAATGAAAATGACCGGGGGCAGGGGGGAGAACTAGTATTATTTAATAGTATTAAATTTCTTTTTGCAATTCTTATAATAACTCAACTAATTAACTTGCACTGATGTACCACTACAAAATGTACAATTTTAGGATATGTTTCGTTGCGAGTCAATATGGACATATGGCAGAAAGTCTTTCGTACATACATTTCAAAAAATTAACTCCAGTGCCTGCCGTAATTATGCAGGTAAAAAAATATATTTAAATATTTAAGTTGTTTTGCAATTTTTAAAATTGAATTTTGAACTGTTACAATTTTTTTTCTGTTACTAACTATAACTGCAAGAAAATTTATATGTTTAGGCCGCTATAGCAATAATTTACGTAGTCGTGGGCAACATTATAGAACTTCTCCAGTTTGCTAGTTTTTTGGTTTGGATTTTTTACGGTTGTGCCATGGTGTCTTTGCTTATTTTACGAAAAACTCACCCAGAGGCTTACAGGCCTTACAAGGTAAATAATTTATAGTCAAGATCAAATCGATCCAGTTAAAAATTTTATATAAAAAGGGCAATAATGAATATATTGTATTCCATACATATTATAAGTATCAAACTGCGATATCGTACATAGGTAGATTTACCTATATTTAGTATAAATTATATTAAAACACACTTACCACTTATTAAAAAATAGGTAAACATATTTCCACACTATTTCTTGTTTAACTCGCTTGACACTAATCGCGACTAGAAACCAGTAATCAACGACTTTCAAAGCTTAACATTCACCTTGACAGTGTTCTCTACTGTTATCTTTCCGAGAGCGATGATACACGTTCTCTGTGTGTTTATGTGCCTTGCTCGTATGTTTTGGCAATAAAAACTGCGCGGAGAAAATGAAAAGGGAAAATTTACCTATATATTAAAGCGATATTTACAGTTTATCCCACTAGCCTGTTGCTTCGTAAACAAAAATAATAAAAATTACGATTTGGGCCCGAATTTNTATTAAATATTATTTGTTCTTTGAAATGAAATTTTGTTGAGCCGTTTCTAGAAAAACTTATTTTCTTTAATTTTTAGGTTTAATTACGTACATTAACATTTGCAGCGTAAAACTATACGTCCAAATACAAAATATCTTCAGTTTCTTTAAGGTACTGGCATGCCTTTTAGTAATTGGCGCTGGAGTTTATGAAGTGAGTGTGGGTAAGAATTTGAAATTATTTTGATGAATGGTGAACATTAACAATCAAAAATACGACTTTAAACAAATGCTAAACTTTTAGGAAACATACAAAATTTACAAAAAGGTTTTGAAGGCACTAAATCCGATCCTAAAAACATTGCTTTAGCGTTTTATAGCGGCCTTTGGGCATACGATGGCTGGTAAATTATTCTTATTAATCAAATTTAATACGAAAAGTCTTTCACGGCTGGCGTTATCAGAATAGTGCTCGATATTCGGTTTTGATAATCGTGACCTAGGATTGGTTTTCCTCCTTGGGTGAGATCAGCTATTAGTCCAGGCGAATTAGCTGAAAAATCGCCATTTGGAATAACCTAATTTTTGCATGTCAATTAGTAAAAAATTGCGTACATATTTAATAAACTTCTACTCACGCTCACAAGTTTCTTCGTGTCCACTTTTATGATAAAAATCTGTTGCATTGCAATTTTGGGAAAAGAAGCCTTTTTTTTATAGGTATTAATCCTGATTGAATAAATAGGTGAGCAGCAATTAATTTATAGGAAGTTTACTTACAAGTGCTTCGGAAAACTAAAGTGTCGTGTTTTGGTGTTGGGGTTTGAGGTATTTTTTTGTTCTACAACAACCGCCAAAGTTTTTCCAATCTTCATTTTTTTGTTTTTTTTTTAAACCTTTAGTGTGAGGCCAATAAAATAATCTTACATAAAGAGTTTACAAACAAAGAGTCAAAAATAACGGTAAAAATTAAAAAAAATAATATTAATGACTGAATATGATAGAAGTACAATTCCTACATATTCTCTGAGCACAGATCATAAAGGAAAAATAATTGGTATTTCGTAGCATTACGAATTTAATAAAAATTTTTATTAACAAATTAATTTATTCGATCGGGATAAAATTATAACAGGATTAATAACTACAAAAATGGCTTCTTATCCCAAAATTTCAATGCAATAGTACCTGGATTTATATCTTAAAAGTGGATACGAAAAGGAAATCGTTTTTTTTTTTACTTATGAATCTTTATTTATTGAAGGAAATTTATAATTTTGAAAAATTGGGGCCCTTACCTATATCGAATAATTCTAAAAAACTTTCTCAATTAACGTTTTTCGATTAAAACGTTAGAAAAAATGTTATAGATAAAAAACGAAAAACATCGAAAAAACGCTCTTAATGAATTAATTAAAACAAAGTTCTTCACACTTGTAGGCGTGATATACGTGTTTTTTTACTAATTTCCATGCAAAAATCAGGTCTATTCCAAACTTTTCCACCCAAAAGTCAAATATGTCTGGACTATATGCAGTGGTGTTGTGCTAATTTTTTTTTTACCGGACAGGGTCGATCCTGGGTAGGCGGCCGCTCTGTGCGGTCTCATGTCCCAAATTTGACCGGGGGGGAGGGTATTCTCCCAATTTTCGCCCGTCGCCAGGATCGGCCCTGTATATAGCATAAAAAGGAAAGGAAACGAAAATCATTACGAACCCAATCTTGTGTATATATATATATTCTACATCTTCAGAAAAATCGGTACGTTTGTCGGCATTTTTCTTAGCATCACTGTAATAAACTAATAAAGTTAAAAACATCTACCAATACCGGAAACCAACATCTGGAAATTCTAGTTCACAACAAATGTATAATAAAAATTCTTAGCATTAGCTGCAGGCCCATTGGGGTATAGCAATAAACTATGCCAAGGATGAGTAACGTACGGTCCGTGAGCCGCTTGTATTAAAATTTATGTATGAAATCTTTACTTTTTTAAAATTTCATATTTTTTTCTTCTAATGTTTATTATAAATAAAGTTTAATTCCCGTTGAAC